TAGGCACGTAAACCAGACTAGGCTAAAACATCTTCCGTTTCAAATTTAGACACCCCCACCTTACCCTGACTTGACATCTATGAAAGTAACTCTATACTGATACTTATTATTAACACCCAACACACGCCTACCCAATTTAAACAATTCGCCCTAGATGTTACCATGGAAATTTTGATTTCAATTATTGAAACACGTAAATTTCAGAAATACGTTATTCCCCCAAAAAAAAAAAAAATTCGCTTGAAGATGGAACAGAGCTTACTTTAACTCAATTTAATTCAAATAATTATATTGAAGTTTTCGGCTCTTGTTTTTGAAACATGAGACCTCTTATGTCGCGAGTTGAATCATATTTTTAAATAAATAATTATATATATATATATATATATATATATATATATATATATGTTAATGTTCACCCAGTACAAGGCCCAGGAGCCACTCAAGGTAGATGGTTACTCCGTGGTGTTGTATGACCGTAAGAAAAAGCAAAAATTGAAGTTAATGGAGTTAATACAGGAAGGATAATCCTAGACTTGAAGTGATCAAGATTGTAGTGATTGGGAAAACATCCGGCCAGGTGTTTATTCTATAAAGCAGCAGTTCTTGGAAAGAAGCTATCCTAGTGGAAGATTACTTGTTACAAATCGAATACAAGCCTTTAGTTCAACCAGGAAATATTTTCTTGGTCACGTTGTTCAAAAACCTTTTCTTGTTGAACATTATGTGACTTCAAAATGTTAACCAACGGTGACATGTTCATTAAACAGATTTTAGAACCGCGAAGTGTTCTAATAGAATGCTTTTATCCAAGATATAAATGGATATGCTAATAGATATCTATCAACTGATTATTAGCCTAATTTCTTTATGAAATGTATTTTTTTATATACGAATGTTTAGCCAATACAAGTTTCAATAACCATTTGCTATGTGTATTGTATGAGCGAAAGCAAAGAGTAGAAGTGAAATTCATGTCGTTATACAGGAAAAATAACGGTTAACCGTAGACTTGAAGAGGAAATCCTGTTGGAAGGCTGTTCCTTAAAGCAACTAGTTTTTGGGAAGACGCTGTCGGAATGGAACTTCTTTCTTACTAATGGAATACGAAGGAAATGGGAATGATTCACCGTTGTATACGTGGCCTGGAGGGTCCCAATTGTAAAGGTACTGACTGGTATCAAGTTTTTCTGTCGACCATTAACTCATGAAGTTCGATTAAAAATGTAATAATTCAAATGTGTGTTCTTTGTATGAAAACAATGTATAAGATTTAAAATGTGATTACACTGCATTTCTATCTATCTATCTATCTATCTATCTATCTATCTATCTAATTCAGTTTGTTCGTATCTACCTTTCTACTCGTATATATATATATATGTCGCAACACAAATATAGTTATGCCGTAACCAGCTGCCCGAATTCTCTCCCCACACACACCAAACAAGTTGTACCTGCAGGCAAAGGGCAAATGTAAATTGTGTTATTTTAGAAGCACAATACCGAAAACTCTACCAAAATAGTCTTTTATTTATTTGCACCTCACAATGCTTCAGCTTTATTCGCAGCAACATGTCTTTGCCGGAAGCCAATTCCACTCAGTGGAACATATTAGGAAACTGCATCTTCGCAAAGCACTTAGTTTTTGCAACGCTCCTCGGCATGACGTAATTGTTAGCGAGTGGGTCTTGTTGACCATTAGTAAGTAGTGTGTTCGATCCTCCCTTGGTGCCACATACTTTGAAACCTTTTTTTTTTTTTTAATTCATTTCACCCTAAGAAAGTCAACAAGGACACTAAGACAGAAGGGTTTACCGAATGTTCGAGAATACGAGGGAAAAGAACAGTATTAAAAAACAATAAAAGAGCAAGAACCTCCAATCTGTGGTTGACTGGGGCCGGAAATAGCTTGTAAATTTTAAAGACTTCGAAACGAAACTGCTCTCATTTAACCAACTCCCTGCCTCCTATCAACATGGCTGATGCTCAACTTCCGGTCAGAGTCTCACTCCGCTTTCTTGGTCTCACGTTTTACCACGGATCTGAGGTGGAACATCTACACTGAATCAATAGCTGCTTCTTTCGCAAGTAAAGATGCTTCTCTGTGTCGTGCAAGAAGGTTTTTTTTTTCTCTCCTCTGACTCCATCCTTCACATTTAGAAATCTACCATTCGTCCATTCATGGAATACTGTTGGCATACATGGTCTGGTGCCCTCGTTGTTCATCTTGATGTTCTAGACAATATCCAAAGACGGATATACAATATGTTCAGTCCTGACTTGGCAGCTCGACTGCAGCCACTTTTTCACAGACATGCTATGGCTTCCCTCTGCCTTTTCTACAAATATTTTCATGGCAGCTGCTCTGACGAGCTATTTTCACTGGTGCTTCACCTGCATAAATTTAATTGTGCTACCAGGTTGGCATGTCGGTCCCACCCTTTTACTGTCGAAACGGTTAAATGTAACCGCCTCTTCTACTCCAACAGCTTCTTCTCTCGCACTTCCCGACAGTGAAATTCCCTTCCTCTTACTTGCTTCCCTGACAACTATAATCTTCAAAAATTTAAATGTAATGTCAATCGACATCTGATGCCTTGATCTTGATCCCCGTCCTTCTCTTTATCCTTTTCTCGAACACCCCTCTTTACTTTTACTTTCACTCTCTGTAACCTCTTGCGCACTAGTGGCACTTCCACTTTGCTTGGGGCGAATGCTTATAAATAAAAATTAAAAAGAAGATAACGATTGACATTGCACTTAAATTTTTGAAGAGCAAAGTAAGTTGATTAGAAGGAAAGAAGCAGGAAGAAAGTTCCACAAGCGAGAAGTGCGATAAAAGAAACTATTAGCATAGGACTTACGGTTACATCTAGTCATTTCAACTGTAAAACATGAGGCCTCGCGCTTAAATTCATAAAGTCTAGATACCATAGATGAGAGTTCACCATAATAATTACCATGAAAGTATTTATAGAAAAGACACAGGGAAGCTACGTTATGGCGGTGGGAAAGGGACTGAAGCCGAAATGCCAGGTCAGATCCAATAACATTGCAGATTATTCTTTGGATTTTATCAAGAATCTCTAACTATATATCAGGAGAACCAGACCAGATATGGCAGCAATATTCAAACCAAGGACAAATGGTAGACGTATAAATCTGTAAGATCTGGCGAGAAAAATTCTCTAGCATGAGACAGAGATGTAACATTCCTACTAGCAGACCGAGCAATCGATTTGATATAATATTTCTATTTCATGTCAGTGAAAAACGTTAGTCCGAGAAGGTACAATGAACCACTATCTCGGAGGTTAGCATCAGCCATGCTGATGGAAGACAAAGATTAAAAGACGATTTCGGACGATTAAAAGACAGCAGCTTCGTTCTGATGGCGTTAAAATTAACAAGCCATTCCTTGCCCCAGTTAACAACAGAAAGTCGATAGTTTTTGAGATCAGCCTCCAGTCTGACTATATCGAACCATTCAGACCTACTGTTAAGACACTGTTGCAGACGCTGTTACAATTATACACACTACAGATCCACTTTTAATAACGGGCTATAACAAGAGAAACATGAAAATTAAAATATCAAACATATACCGGGTGTAACAGCAAAATTGTCCAAATCGTGTCACAGCATGGGATAATTGCCCATCCTCTGAAAAATGCTTAAGTTCTAAAAAAAGCACTAAACTAACTGAGTTTCTTTTTTGCAGGTTTTCAGAAAAGACCTTCAGCCATCTTGACACCATTTGTTGTAAGAATCACTGAAAAACCCTTTGAGTTATTCAGCGAGAAAGAGAACAGATTAAAATCATTTTGTGTCAGCCACACTATGTTTTCCCAACTGAGCAATGGTGAGAGGAAAAAGATCATTCAGGCCTTCAGTAATGGTGCCAACCTTCATACTCTGGTTTTCATCTTCAAAGTCCATTCAAGAACCAACAAGAGAAGAGTGAATAAGTTTAAAGAAGAAAGAACAGCGGAGAGGAAAATTGGATCATGCGGTCACAACATGAAGAGGGATTATTCATTTCAAATTAGGGACCAAATGCATTCTTATTGCTCAATGTAGAGTCCAATAGTGTTATAAAAATCTCGGAGAATTCCAGTGAGATATCTTTAATCATTTCTAAGATACAACGGTTCAAACCTTGATCTCACAATTGGACAATTTTGCTGTTACAAACGATATATCTAATAATTAGACATATTTATTCAAATGGTACATACATGATCGTATGACATTTTCTCGTTGTTGGTGGTGGCAAAAAAGCAGCTCAGTAGATTTTTACAGCTGCAAGTGATATATACAACGAAATTATACATATCAGTTTGACATATCTATTATAATGTTCTGAAGAAAATAAATTGATACTGAAGCACACAGGGATACACGTAAATAGACGTATTTATAAACCCGATTCTAAATTCAGGAAGATTTCCCTAAGTGAAATAAAAGTTAACAGAGGATTGTTCTTCTTGGTAAGTTCTTTCAACAGGATATAACATAGGAAACAACTACTTAAAGCCTGTTTTTATGCTTTATAATCACATTCTGAATATTACTATTGTTAATAGTAGTAGTAGTAGTAGTAGTAGTAGTAGAGAGAGAGAGAGAGAGAGAGAGAGAGAGAGAGAGAGAGAGAGAGAGAGAATGTATGTGTGTATGTTTGTGAAATGTCTCCCAAACTGGAAACGAGGCAGGGCTGGTATTGTTCCGTCTATTGACCAATCCGACGATTCGTTACATGCTAGTTACAACAATGCCTGTGAAAGAGACCTCTGGATTGGCGATTTCCATAATTTTCTCAAAAGGAGCCCTTACAGCACGAATAAATGGCTCAGTGATCCACATAAAAACCGAGTTGAGAACTGATGCTGTCGGGGAGGTCGTTTAGTTCGTCCAAGGATAGATAAAAAAAAATAAAATAAAAAAAGGGAAAAATTCATTTAACTTTAACAACATAAAATACGCACGGGCGTAATAGGTACTTATCTACCTTGTCCTTACCTCATTAACCACAGTCAATGTCATGGTCTATCTCCACCCCTGCAGTTAATCTTTTCCATGGACTCGTAACAGTAAATCATTATTATCTGCAAAAAATTCTTACAATCTAAGAAAAAAAAATTCTGGCTTTAAATAACCTACAAGAAACAAATCAATCATTGGTAGCCAAATTTGATTGGTTTGGTTTAGTTTGTTTTACTGCATATCAACCTTAATACTGACAAAATGCTGGCAACGTTGTTTTTTTATTTTTTTTCAAAAATGTATTGCCAGTATTATTTCTTTCTTTCAAAAAATCTATTTCTGGTAATATTTTTTCTTAAAAAATCTATTGCTGGTAATATATTTTTCTCAAAAATATATAGCTGGTAATTTTTTTTTTCAAATGTATTGCTGGTAATAATTTTTTCCTTCAAAAATGTATTGCTGCTAATATTTTTCATTAAAACAAATGCTATTAAAACCCATTTTATACTTTCATAGCGTTTTGATCACAGTTTTAGGGCTAACCATTTGCCTAAAGTTGGGACGCTAACAGGTGCTACCATCCCGGCTCAGGGTGGATCTGGGAACAACAGCAATTAAGAGGTGGTCCATGCTTCAAAAAACCTCCTGATCAGAGGACTTGCTGTTGGACGTAGTTTATCGTCTTACCCAGGACGTGGATGTAGTTTATCGTCATACCCAGGAGGTGGATGTAGTTTATCGTCATACGAAAGGCACAGATGTAGTTTATCGTCATACCCAGGTCATGGATGTAGTTTATTGTCATATCCAGGACACGTATGTAGTTTATCGTCTTAACCATGACGTGGATGTAGTTTATTGTCATATCCAGGACACGGATTTAGTTTATCGTCTTAACCAGGACGTGGATGTAGTTTATTGTCATATCCAGGATACGGATTTAGTTTATCGTCTTAACCATGACGTGGATGTAGTTTATTGTCATATCCAGGACACGGATTTAGTTTATCGTCTTAACCAGGACGTGGATGTAGTTTATTGTCATATCCAGGACACGGATTTAGTTTATCGTCTTAACCAGGATATGGATGTGGTTTATTGTCATATCCAGGACAGGTATGTAGTTTATCGTCTTGCCCAGGAAGTGGATGTAGTTTATTTTCATATCCAGGATAGGGATTTAGTTTATCGTCTTAACCAGGACGTGGATGTAGTTTATTGTCATATCCAGGATACGGATTTAGTTTATCGTCTTAACCATGACGTGGATGTAGTTTATTGTCATACCCAGGACGGGGCAAATTTGACTTTATCGAAATAAAATGTTCAAATCTTTCTGAAGTTTACCATTTGTAACTGAAGAACATGTACATTATCTTTCATAATACTCCTTGCTTTGTTTGTAAATAAATTTCAATGTTAGCTATTTATAATTCCTCATTTTTAACAATAGACAATTAATTTTGCATGAATTGTTTTTTCACAACAAAGGGAAATAATGCTGTCACCACATGACCCATATAGATGTCAATATACTAGAAACCTACACATTTTTTTCCTTTTATTCAATCTGGCCTTATTGAACATCCCGCTTTCCTCTTGTATTTTGTTAATGTCGTCTCTGCCCTTTTAGCTGTTACTGTTGTATTGAGATAATAGAAATGTTCTTTATTTTATGTCAGCAAAATTCAACAGGATAAAAACAGGCTTTAAGTAGTTGCTTCCTATGTTAGATCCTGTTGAAAGAACTTACCAATAAGAACAATCCTGTGTTAACTTTGATTTCATTTAGGGAAACCTTCCTGAATTTAGAATCTGGCTTATAAACACGTCTATTTGTGTATACCTATGTGCTTTAGTATCAATTTATTTTCCTATATATATATATATATATATATATATATATATATATATATATATATATATATATATTGTTGTATATATCACTTGCAGCTGTAATAATTTTCATGTCCCATGTGATAGGATTACTAAATTGTTTTTCAATTTAAAAAAAAAAATTCTGTACTCTCCTTTAGTCTAATATGGAGCACAAAAAATTTTCATTTTAAAATCACATTTAAGTATGATTTTTATTCGCCTTTTTCAATCTAAGTTAACGAAACATTAAATTTAATCTAGCATCAGTCAGTTATGTGCCATGCGTGATACACGTTTAGGCGATCATGTATCTTTCGATATATGACTGATGAGGTAGATTTTTTTCCCGCAGTAGTTTGCCATTTCTTCTGCGGTAGACCAGTTGCCATCCAAGGCTATAGAACCCAGTCTACTCTGCTATTTACCCATAGCTGGCGGGGGGCGGGAGAGAAGAAGAGGATCCATACCTTTCCCAAGGGTATTAGCGCGTAAGTGAATGTAATGGATTTGAATGGAATTCGAACTCGGCTCGAATTCCAGGTAAATAATTGTGTAATTTGCCCAACAAAGGCTGAATAGATATTTTTTTTTCTTTTTTCTTTTAATCATGTGGGTTCAGACGAGCATATTTTTGCCTTCAAATGTCACCATTTTTTTTTATTATAATGGTCAATAACTGTAAAATCATCCTTTGGGCAAATTTCGTATTTCTAATTTAACTTTGGTTTCATAAAATAATTCTTGAAAATAGAATATGATTTTGCTATTGTGGGTGACTTTTAAACAAAATTAAAGCATACTGTTAGTGAAATAAACAATTTACTTACAATATCAAGTGTACAGTAAATATATTTTGTCTTATAGTACTTATCGCTGCACATTTGAACAATACGCATACTATTACAGCTGATGGTTGTAAAATAGTTTACTGAGGTCGCTGCTTTGGTAAATGTTTCATGGTATAGATTTGTAGGCTTTGTTGTGAACATTTCCACTGTTATATGTTTAAGTTATTCAAATGTTTTTGCCAGTTTTTGATCTTTAAAAATATAATACATTGGATACAGTCTTTTATTTATCAAATCTTAATCCCTTTGATGTGAAAATTATTCAAGGCTCCTCATGAATTTTTTTTTATTCTAATTATAAATTAGTACTTATCTGTAGACAAATATTCTTTAGGGAGTGTTTTACTTGTTAACAAAGTCAAATTTTCTATTACAAGTGTTACCTACCTATCTACCTCATTGAGCTCAGTCAAGACAATAGAGTTCATCCCCACACTGCAATTAAATGTAGACTGTAATCTTTTCCAGGGCTACATATGGTTTTGAATTCAGTTTTTTTCTCCTAGACTGGTTGGTAACGGTGGCTGCAAATATCATTCTGCCCTGCCATTTAACTGATAGCTGATGAAGGGAGAAGACATGGATCCATGCCTTTCCCCCAGTTATATAGGACGTGTGTCACCAGCGCTTCATATGGTTTTGAATTCAGAGTTGTCTTTCTCCTAGACTGGTTGCCAACTATGGCTTTAGATATCAGTCTACCTTGCTATTTAACCCATCGCTAGAGGGAAAAAGAGATGAATTCATTCCTTTTCCTTGGCTGCATAGAAAGTGCTTAACCAGGGCTCCACATCGTTTTGAATTCAGTGTTATTCCTCTCATAGACTGATTGCCAACAACAGCTGTAGGACATAGTCTACCCTGCTATTTAACTAATAGCCACGGGAAAACGAGATTAATTCATACCTCTTCCAATGGTATCTGTGCAAGAGTGAATGTAACGAAATCGACTAACATTCGAACTTGGGGCTTGCTGCTTTCTCGCTCTGAACCGCTAACCATCACACCACCTGAACCTCATATTAGGCGTACCTGCCCGTAATCTTCACTTCTCTTTCATTTATACCGTACCCCCGTTTGTAATAACCCCTTAAACAGTAACGTTCTACCTTGGGTTGCTCTCGAGCCTTCTATTGACTGAAATTCAGTATATAAAGATTGATTATTCTGGTACGAGGTGTCAGTAGTGGTGCACTAATGAAACTTGAACATCCCATCAAATTGATCAGTGCTCTACATTGGGTGGTTCTCAAGCTTTTTATTGACTGAAACTCAGTATATAAGAAAAATGATTATTCTGGTACGAGGAGTCAGTAGTGGGGCACTAATGAAACTTGAACATCCCATCAAATTGATCAGTGCTCTATACTGGGTGGCTCTCAAGCCTTTTATTGAGTGAAATTCAGTATGTAAAAAAATGATTATTCTGGTACGAGAAGAGAAAGTAGTGGGGACTTAATGAAATTTGAACTCGATACCCCATTAAATTGATCAGCAAAAAGAAATTTCTTGAGATTGAATATTGGTTGGTGGTACGACATATCAACCCTAGTCTGGTAATTGTATTGAATGAATTCTAGTAAAAGAAAACCTGATTTTAGCAGGGACTATTTAGTGCACTATTGAATGGTCCATCAAATAATAGTGGGATTAACTTCCATATTCTCTATTTGGCTGTAAATACCAATCTTTTGATCCTCCAAAACTGGATCTTTTTTTTTATTCTGCTAATCACCTGGTCGGCTTAGCTCTCATTTTGATAGAAGCACTTCTCCCTGAATTTCTCGGTTTTGCCATCCATATTCAGGCCAGAGTGAGGTAGAACAGGGCAGTACAAGTTATGTTTATTTTTTTTTTAGCTGTCTTTAGTTGATAATCTTACCGACGTCAGATACATATGAAAACGAAAAGGTCACTTATAGTTAGCACCAGGAAGAGATAGTTGAAATTTCTAGGTCACATTATGAGGAAAAAGAGCTTGGAAAATTTGATACTCACGGAACAAACTGAAAAACAGACGAACAAGGGAAAACAACGTATAACATATCTAGCAACCACAAATAAATGGATATCAGAATAAGGTTTAGTAGAGACTAGCAGTATGGTCCGGCGTTGCGAGTGCTTGATTCAAAAATCGTACGACTCATACAGCAATCGCTATCACTTGACTTAAAATATTTTTGCCCTTCCTTGCCTTTATTGGAGTGCCCTTTGCCGTGCTGATGTTGCTACAGGCCTTACTTCTTGCCTATCTCACACTGCGAATTTTTTCAAAGCTCTATACTAAACATTAAATCTGTTACGAAAAACGAACTAAACAAAATGAACACAAAACGATCAGCTTTAAAAAAGGACTCGTAACTGGAAAAACCGAATGAAAAAAGAATATTAACAACAAATACTTTTTCACACCCATCCCAGTTCTGCGGAATCAGAATCAACGTTGAGTTTAAGTAAGCGAATGAGCCAATTGGAGTAATGTGCCATGCAGATTTAAATTTTTCCCACTTGTGACGAAAGCAGCTATCGATTTTTTTGCATGCTAGTTAACATTCATGTCAGTCAGCTGTTGGCTCTCACGCTGGCCAATAGAATCTTCCTGCCTATTCGTGGCAGCCAGCTATTGGCTCTCACTCTGGCCAGTAGAAAATGGCCGCAAACTACATGAAAACTGCCGTAGAAGCATGAAAAAAATTGGAGCCTATGCATGTAAATTTTGGTGCAAATCCGTCGAAGATTGCGGCCGTGCATTCATTACACACACACACACACACACACACACACACACACACACACACACACACACACACACACACACATCCTGCCTTTTATAGATAGAGATAAAAAAGCACAAAATTTGTTAAGAGCTTCAAAGGACATAAATATTATTATAGAAATTAGATTTTAACTAATTTCAACATATAATGGTTCCCGTAAAACTGAGACAACTTTGGATAAAGAAAAAAGATTATCTTCAGTCCCCCTATATGTCAGTGAATGCTGAAAAATCTCCTAAGAGATGAAGAAGAGACTTGAAGCAACAGCTATATGCTTCTACAGAAGGATGCTGAGGATACCATGCACCGAAAATGTGAGCAACGATGAATTCTTTTTAGAGAAAATGAAACAAAAAGGCAACTTATACTTAACATCAGGGAGAGGCAGTTAAAATTTGGAGGGTTCATAATGAGGAAAAGGGGCATGGAAAATTAGATACTCACAGGACAGATTGAAGGCACTCAACACTTAGAGGCGACAATTATATAAAAGTGAACATTGAAGTCAACAGGAACAGAGAAAAACAACGAATAAAAATACCTAGCGAGCTTATTGGTTGGTTTATTTTGTTTAGCGGCATATCAGCGTTTATAGGTTATTCATTGCCGAAATCTAAATATTTTGTTCGCAATTTTTATTTTATTTTTGGAGATAATAATGGTTTAGTGATAAACATCTCGATAATTAACCCATTGCTAGAGGGAGAAGAGGTGGATTCATACATTTCCCAAGGGTCTTTGCGCGTAATTGAATATAACAAACCCAACTGCAATTGGGAATCGGCACTGCTGAGAGATTTGGAAATATGGCTAAAATCAGCCATTTTAGCGATTTAAAAATTTAATTCTAATCAATTTAAATTTGTTTTGCAATACAGCAACATATTTTAATTATTGGAAATATTAAATTTTTTGCTATTAGCTTGAAATTAAATCTAAAATAAAAAGCTTCAAGAAAGATTTCATTTTAAACCTTAGTTATCGCTTTTCTTTTGAGGTACCTATATATATATATATATATATATATATATATATATATATATATATATATATATATATATATAGAGAGAGAGAGAGAGAGAGAGAGAAGGTTACAAATCTGTTGGTATATAATCCAAGTAGATCCTAGTAATATAAAATATTAAAATTGATTCACAAACAGAGCAAATAATTAATAAACAAAAAAAAAAAAATCCAAATCATCTTATATGGAGAATAGTCTATATCGACAGACAAAAACACCGTCCTCTGTCTCATCAACACCAGCGTGGACTGAGTTAGTGTCAGAAATATATATATATATATATATATATATGAAGAAATATAATTTTATGGTGTGCTATATTTATGGGGTAAAGTGCTCAATATCAGAGATAGAGCGTGTGTAAATATAAAAGTGAACATTGAGGCAAACACTCAGAGGCGACAAGCTGCTTCATTCTAGAAGCAATCGTCAGGCCGGCCTGACGATTGCTTCTAGCAGGAAAACAGCCTGTCGCCTCTGGAGTGTTGACGTCAATGTTAACTTTTATATAATTGTCTCCTCTGATTGTTTACTTCAATGTTCACTTTTATTCACTTTATATATATATATATATATATATATATATATATATATATATATATATATATATATATATATATATATATATATGCCTGCGTGTATAAAGGTAACAAATCTGTTGGTATATAATCCAAGTAGATCCTAGTAAAATAAAATATTAAAGCTGAACCACAAAAAGAGCTTAATTATTAATTATTACAGAGAAAATAAAAAATAAAATTTAAAATCACCTCATATGGGGAATAGTCTATTTCGGCAGACGAAAACACTGTCGTCTGTCTCATCAACCCTGGCGTGAACTGAGCTAGTGTAAGATATATATACTTTTAGCTAAATAATTACGAAGAAATAAATCAGAGTAAACTACAATTAACAATAGCCATCATGCCAGAACCGGCATTAAGTCACTTATCTTCGCCAATGTCGCCTTCAGTGAAATCAAAGGCGAAGAAGAAGACGGAGAAAGAGAAGAAGAAAGAAGACGGAGAAAGAGAAGAAGAAATAGAAGGAGGAGAATAGAGAGGAGGGTGACGGGGAGATGTAAGAGCTGGAAAAGCCATTCAACGAAGACCGAAAGGTTTCAATGCCGATCGTTGTTCAAACAGCGCATGTGCAGATGTAATCTCGTCTAATCTCATGCCATTGGTCACAATCTCGCGAGATGCTACTCTAAAATGTCGATACATCTAAGTAATATTCGGCAGGACCAAATTGTGAATGTATCTAACTCTAGCACGTCCTGTGACGTCAAAAACGAAAACGTCGACGGCGGCGGCGGCACGTCCTCCCAAATTGAAGAGGCAACACATGAAAGCGAACCAGAAAGATTCGCCTGTCTCCCCAATCAATTCATTATCAGCAAATCTTTCTAGCGACAGGGTCACTGCAACCCACACTGTTGGCTTATCAAATAGTGATAAGGAGCCTCTTGTTCGTACTTTCTCTCTCTCTTTCTCGTTCTCGACTTTCCAACACTGAATGAACAGGTCATGTGACTGAAAGAAAAAGGAAAAGAAGTAAAAATGAAGACTACTTAATTTCGTGACACTAAATGGAAACACAATAGAAACAAAAATCACACTTGACGTATCAAAAGGAAGTGACAGTTTCTCGGGCGCATAATGAAGAAAGCAGGCTTGGAAAATTTGGCACTCCCAGGACATATTGAAGGCAAGTGGCTGTAATTAATGCTGAATTAGTTAGGCATCTTAATTTGCAGGGTTTTCTTTCAGATAAGCAATATGGCTTTCGCATCTGTAGATCAACAGCCAATGTATTAAGGATTATAAGCTTTCGATAAGAATGGTAAAAAATCAGGCTGTTGCTTTTGGTATCTCCAAAGCATTTGACAAGGTTTAACATACTGGACTTCTTCGCAAGTTGAAAGTTTATGTTATTTCTGGATGAATTTTTAAACTGATTCAGTCTTTCTTACCAAACCGCTAAATGAAGGTTGTCTTGAATGGCCACTCTTCTACATCATTTTGCATTAATGCAGATATTCCCCAAGGCACTATACTTGGACCTACGTTGTTTCTAAGTTTAATAAACGACTTGCCCAATGTCATCAGTTATCAACTCGGTATCTATGCTGATGATACAACTATTTATACCTGTCTTCATATTAAAAAAATGACCTATGGAGCCTGTTAATTTTAATGAGCTGTTAATTTTAATGGCATGTTAATTTTAATGAGCTGTTAATTTTAATGGCATGCTAATTTTAATGACCTGTTAATTTTAATGGCCTGTTGATTTTAAAACCTCCAAAACGAAACTGCTCTCTTTTAATCGCCTGAGAAAACCTTTTTTTTTATCTAACATGGCTGATGCCAACGTCCAGGAGAATCACTCCTTGCGCCATCTCGGGCGAACGTTTTCCGCTGACATGAAGTGGAAAGATTATATTGAATCAATTGCTAGGCCTGCTGCTAGGAAAGTCGCTACACTGTGTTGTGGTAGACAATTAAACCTGAAAACTCGAGTCATGTTCTTAATTAGCCTCGAAACTTTCATATGGATGTCATGCATGGCGACAAATCTGGTCCAAAATATCTAAACTGCCAGTCGTACCCAACCGCTTTCTAAGATCAATGGCTAAAAATTGCTTTCAGCGGCTGAACCCTGTAGATCATAGCGAAGATCATCTTTATTCGAACTTAGTGAATTGGCGCTACAGAGTTAAAAACGAACTCTACCAGAAATCAGATCACTTGAGGATTTTCAACAACAACAACAACAGCACCACCAACAACAACAACTGTAGTAGCAGCAGCAGCAGCTAAAATGGATATCACATGTAACTTGAAGAGAAAATAATGACATAATCTGGTATTAACATTTCACACCACTTTAAATAAAAGGTTAGGAAGGAAATGCACATCAGTAATAGAAAGAACAATACCAGCTACTGGAATTGAGAAACTTGCTTTCCTGAAAAATTGTTTTAAGAGAAAGATTTCATAAATTTCAACCGTGAGTAGTACGGTCAACGAATGCTGAATGTTTCCTTATAAAGAAGCGACTAATATTTCAATCACCCCCTTCCTCCCTATCTATCTATCTATCTATCTATCTATCTATCTATCTATCTATCTATCTATCTATCTATCAGTTCGTTCATATCTATCTATCTATCTAACAGCCTGTTCATATCTATCATCTATCTATCTATCTATCTATCTATCTATCTATCTATCTATCTATCTATCTAACAGCCTGTTCATATATCTATCTATCTATCTATCTATCTATCTATCTATCTATCTAACAGCCTGTTCATCTCTATCTATCTATCTATCTATCTATCTATCTATCTATCTATCTATCTATCTATCAGCCTGTTCATATCTATCTATCTATCTATCTATCTATCTATCTATCTATCTATCTATCTATCTATCTATCTAACAACCTGTTCATATCTATCTATCTATCTATCTTGCTCTTAAAACGCTTTTCTGTTTCGAGTCTTCTTTAACTTTTATTTTTAAGATTTCTTTTTTAATATATGCACACAATATATAATTTAACAAGTATAACCACTAAGCCATTCATTCGTCTGGTCAATTATCTTCCTATACATTGATATAACTAGAACCTTATTATATGGCGACCATATTTCTGTGGAGATTTCTCCACAGATGATTATCAGAACATTTATTACTTATAGAGAGTAGTTCCTGTTATTGTATCTCTGTTCTAACAGTCGGGATGCAGACCAATGGAAGCTTAGGGTTATAGTCTGGGTGGCAGCGACTATTCCTTCCAGATATCAGCATGTGATTGATATTCGATTTTCATTTATCATTAATTGTGTATTGTTAGTTGATCGAGTAAGGATTCAGAATAATGTCTCTTCTTGTTTCCACTTTCAATAATACACCATCTTTCCACAATTATATAATGGAATATCTTTGCATTTTATGATAAACCACGTGTGGAGCTAATTGGAAACAGCATGTGCCACAGAATCCGACACGACTCGATTTTTAATTATGAATGACAGTTGTCCTTCTCGGCATCGGCATTCAAAAGAAGTCGAAGAAGGAAATGTCAAAATAACTAAAAAAAAAAAAAAAGAAAAGAGAATTATATATATCCCAGGGTTTTGTACTCGTGGTTCCGATCATCTATGGCTGAAAAAAAAAAAGCATAAAAACTTAGACCAGTTTCAAAATGTAAAACTTGTATGCAATTGATAGTTTAACAAAATATTCTGATTACTTGAACCGACTCCAGTCTTCAACCATATGTCACTCTCAACAATTTCTACATGACTTACTAAATATCTACCCTGTTTGACTTTACTCAACCTGCAACTATTTATAGACTCTGATCCTCAGCCAAATCGTAAGTAGGAGGACTGAAGGTCTTCATTTATTTATCTAACAATTATACAATAAAATTTCAAATCAAATTACTGCAAATAGCTGCGCCAGGTTACGGACCCTCGAAATTTTTGGTAGTATATAATAATCATAATCTACTTATCAGTTTGTTTAACGGCATATCAACACCTTACGGGTCATTTAATGCCGAAATTTAATTTTTTGTTTTTAAATATTGCTGGTAATTTTTTTTCCAAAAATGTATTGCTCCTAATTTTTATTTTTTAACAAAAATGTATTGCTGTTAAAATCTTCTGTTTTTACAAAAATGTATTGCTGGTATTATTTTTTTTTTAAATGTATTGCTGGTAACTTTCGATTTTTAAAATGAATTGCTGGTAATGTTTTTTTTTAAATGTATTTCTGGTAATTCTTTTGCTAGGAAAAGGTATTGCTGGTATTTTTACTATAAAAATGTAGTTTTATAATTTTATAGTGTTTTGACTCCCAGTTTGGGGGTTACCTATTTACCCATAGCCGGGGCCCTAACAGGTGCTACCACCCCGGGTCAGGGTGGACCTGGGAACGACAACAATTTAGAGGTGGTTCCAGGCTCATGAAAATCTTCCGATCAGAGGCCTTGCTTCTAGATGTAGTTTATCGTCATACCCAGGACGCTACTTATCAGTAAACGGGTTTTAACTTCTGACTACTGACAAACCCTTTCTTTCTGACTGACTTTATTTCTAAATGAAAAATTTAACAATGTATTTATATTAGACATTAGCATCATGGCCAGGCGTTGCCCGTGCTTGATTAAAAAATCGTACGACTCATACAGCAAACGCTATCAATTGACTTAAAATATTTTTGCCCTTCCTTGCCTTTAAAGGAGTGCCCTTTGCCGTGCTGATGTTGTTACTTCTTGCCTATCTCACACTGCGAATTTTTCTAAGCTCTATACTAAACATTAAATCTGTTACGAAAAAAGAACTAAACAAAATGAACACAAAACGATCAGCTTTAAAAAAGGACTCGTAACTGGAAAAACCGAATGAAAAAAGAATGTTAACAACAGATATTTTTCTCACCCAACCCAGTTCTGCAGAATAAGAATCAACGTTGAGTTTAAGCAAGCGAATGAGCCAATTGGAGTAAAGTGCCATGCAGATTTAATTTTTTCCAAATTGTGACGAATGCAGTTACTGATTTTTTTTGCATGATAGCATGCTAGTTAACATTCATGTCAGTCAGCTGTTGGCTCTTACGCTGGCCAATAGAATCTTCCTGCCTATTCGTGGCAGCCAGCTATAGCCACTCACTCTGGCCAGTAGAAAATGGGCGCAAACTACATGAAAACTGCCGTAGAAGCATGAAAAAATCGATTATTTCCACTATCGGTGGGAGTTGGGAAATGCAAAGTCGGTCTTGGCCTTCCCGCTAACCTGTAGCATGTGCATGTAAATTTTGGTGCAAATCCGTCGAAAATTGCGGCCGTGCATTCGTCACACACACACACACACACACACACACACACACACACACACACACACACACACACACACACACACACACATATCCTGCCTTTTATAGATAGAGATATAATATCTCTATTCTGACAATGCCGCTTGCATTAATTCTTGACCACTGATAATAACTTTCTTCCTGTTTTGCAATGTATTTCTATAGTAAAATCATGAGCAATTAGAGAAAAAGGAAATTAAATATAGAATATGTAGTGATAATAGTCGTGTCGGTCAACACTGCAAATTACTGTAAACTAAAAAAAAATTGACCTAAATCTTGTTTGTTTGGAGTAAAATAATTGAACGCTAAGAGATCACTGGAATAGTGCTAATGTTAGTTGGCTGGGCAGCGATAAACTTGCGTTAGTCAACACTGATTTTCGAAAATGTATCAACCCCTGGCGTCTGTTTCCTCACAACAAATGGGTTATAACTACACTACACCACTTGCTATACAGCCTAACTGTGTCAGGAGAGTTTAGGAAGGAGCAAAAGAAACAAGTTGCCAACTGTCAATTACGAATAGTTTGGGTGGATAAAACACTCCATGTGATTAAGGCAGGGTTAAGCAAACCTGGAATTTTGTTTACGTGCACCGGGCTTAAGTAAAGTCAACCCTTAAGAACAATTTCCATTCTCTCTCTCACAGGTGGGATGTGGTGAGTCACTCACTGCTCTGTTACTTCCATGGAAAGTGTTCGGACGAACTATATTCCTTGGTTCCGCCATGTCTACCCTTCTCGGCTAGGACCCGCCATGAAACTTACATAGTAGCAAACACGCCACATTCCCTCCATATTACATTGGTGAGAAATAAGTTTCACTTGATCAGCTTTCTTTCCGCGAGCCACTGCTCTGTGAAACAGACTCCCAAGAGCATGTTTCCTCGATCACTACAACCTTAACCTGTTCAATTCTAGAGTTAGCTATAATCTCCCCTCTTATCCGTATAAACTACTCCATAACGTAACCTTCTACCTAGAGTGGCCACCGGTCCTTCGACAGGGTGAACCATACTGTATATATATATATATATATATATATATATATATATATATATATATATATATATATATATATATGTTTCATTAAAACGACAGACAAGGTATTACGGTTTAGATTTTTATTTAATTTTTCTTGTGTTCAAACAAGAGCTTTCTTTTCTGGACAAAGAGTGTATAAGAACTGTCCAAATGTTTTATATTTCCGAGCGCTTTCGGCTATAAGTTTAGCCATTATCAAAGATGATTCGATTTTTCACCTTAATTGAGTGTGTGCATTATGTGCATGTCTTAGTGTGTGGTAGGGATGTTTTTAATTTCCGAATACGGTTAGCACATTGTGGTTTTGTTCGTAATTAATATTGTTAAGAGTTGGCTTTTTCTTTTTTTATTATTAAAGCTTCCATTATTTTTAGTCTTTTTTGCAGGTGGATGCAGTTATTATATTTGTATTTTCTACTAGTATGTTTCTAATGGAGTCTGGTAAATTTTTGTGTGTGTTTAAATGGGTTCTAATGGAGCTGTGATCAGATAGGTGTAACGTAAGACGTCTGGATAAGCATGTGGTTGTGTAACCAATGTAATTATTTATGAGTCTGGTTTGATCAGGAACGCAGTTCCTTAAGGGGCATTTGAACTCATAGATAATGTTTGTTCTTTGTAATTTTGACTTAGTTGGTGTGTTGTTATTTTTGACGATAAGGTTGGCTGTCTTAAATTTTTTATAATAGATAATTAATTGGATTTTTTTATTCAGATCAATTGGATTAATATATTTCTTTATAATATGCCTCAGAGAAGATTTGTCTTGTTTGTAATTAATATGCATTTGGTTTTTGTAATAAATGTGTATGGGATTTTGTGCTGTGTGTTCACTATCGTTATTACTTGCTTTGGGGAGAAATAGTCTAATTTGGTGGTCTATAAGGTGGTTAGGGAAGCCGTTGTTGATTAGTGTTTGTTTAACATTATTAAGTTCTTTGATATATATATATATATATATATATTGTGTGTATTTAGGCAGCATTTTTTCATTCATACATGTTTCATTAAATAATATAGAGAAGTGTTGTCTATTTATTTTATGTAAATTCTTTTCATAACGTTTAATGATAATGTTATTAACCTTATCAGACGTTATGAAAAGAATTTATAAAAATAGACAACACCTGTCTATATATATTTATATATATATATATATATATATATATATATATATATATATATATATATATATATATATATATATATATATATATATATATATATATATCAGCCACTGTGTTTATCTAAAAATAAATACGCTTAAATTCACATTCTTCCCAACGTCTTAGAGTTAAAATCTCCGATTGACGCCAATTCAGCCGGGTTTCGATCCTAGCTGTGATGCAGCGAAACAGTCTGTCTGTGGATGACAATATATGCTCCTGAAAATTTTATTTCAGTTGAGCTCTTTGGGGAGGAAGTCTGGGTTTGTAAACAGTGACTATTACGGCTAATAATGCAAGGCTCTTCAGTAAATAGAATCTAGTTCTATTAGTCACTGTGTGTTTATCTAAAAATAAATACGCTTAAATTCACCTTGTCGCTGACCAATTCAGCTAGGTTTCGATCCTAGCTAGAGGCAACCGGACGTCTAGTCACACTGGGATACAGCGAAACAGACTGTCTGTGGGTGACTATATATAAAACAATTATTTTTCAGTCATTCTTTGTGGAATCATTAGAGTGAATAAAATTGTGACATATTTGCTTAATTTTCACGGTAATTTTTACGGTAATATCTCTGATGAGCTTTCCTCTTTGGTACCTCGGTTTCATGAATATTTTGATGAGCTTTCCTCATTCGTACCCCGGTTTCATGAATATTTTGATGAACTTTCCTCTTTGGTACCTCGGTTTCATGAATATTTTGATGAGCTTTCCTCATTCGTACCCCGGTTTCATGAATATTTTGATGAACTTTCCTCTTTGGTACCTCGGTTTCATGAATATTTTGATGAGCTTTCCTCATTCGTACCTCGGTTTCATGAATATTTTGATGAGCTTTCCTCATTCGTACCTCGGTTTCATGAATATTTTGATGAGCTTTCCTCTTTGGTACCTCGGTTTCATGAATATTTTGATGAGCTTTCCTCTTTGGTACCTCGGTTTCATGAATATTTTGATGAGCTTTCCTCTTTGGTACCTCGGTTTCATGAATATTTTGATGAGCTTTCCTCATTTGTACACCGGTTTCATGAATATTTTGATGAGCTTTCCTCTTTGGTACTTCGGTTTCATAAATATTTTGATGAACTTTCCTCTTTGGTATCTCGGTTTCATGAATTTTTTGATTAGCTTTCCACTTTGGTACCTCAATTTAGGCGTAGTATTAGATTGACAGCTATATCTCGTAATTTCAATGCTGATACTGCTTGATGCAACCGTAGGTTCTGTGCTAATAGTTCCTTCCCTCACAGTTCTCGCTTGTGGAACTCTCTTCCGGCTTCCTGCTTTTCTGTCACCTACTATCTTCAAGAATCTCAGTACAACGTCAATCATCCTCTTTCTCCTTGAATTACGTTCTTATATTGTCCTCTCTCGTTCTCTCACTCTCTGTAACCCTCTTTTTATCGCCTCTTTTGGGAGCGAAATGGTTAAACAAATAATAATAATTCTTCTACGTGATATGATTGCATAAACAGCCAGTTTAGCAAATCTTGGAAACGGGTGAAGATAAAGAAAAAATTCGAGAGGTGATAAGAAAAATGAAAGCAAAAAAAAAAAAAAAAAAGAAGAAGAAAAAAGGTGTGTGTGTGGGGGGGCGGTAATAAAAAAAATAGAGCGAGACGATTAGGAAAAGGAAGAAAGAAAGAAAGAAAAAGAAATAGAGAAAGAGATATTGACGAAAATTTGATTCGTTTTGTACGAATCACCAAAAGTGTGATAGGCAGTAATAGTTCATTAAACGAGAATGACAGGATTGTTTATAATTGTTTTACGTTCAGTGGCCTTAAGAATAAAAGGAAGAAGATGAAAAAGGGATCGAAGTGGGGGAAAACTGGAAGGGAAAATTAGAATTGAAAAGTGAAGGGGAAGAAGAAAAAGAAGAAGAAATAAGAAAAAAAGAAAAAGGTAAAGAAAGCAGGAAAGAAAAGAAAAAAGGAAGGTAATATTGAAGAAGAAGAAGAAGAAGAAGAAGAAGAAGAAGAAGAAGGGAGTGATAAAAACAATGGAGGGAAGAAGCATTAATGGAAAGAAGAATAAAAGGAGAATAATTAAAAAGACGAAATAATGAAGTAGAATGAATGAAAGAAAAAACGAATAGAAGGGAGAAAAAACGGGGAAATAATTACAGAAGACAGAAAAACAAGTTAAACAAGAAGAAGAAGAAGAAGAAGAAGAAGAAGAAGCAAGCCAAGATAAAAAATGAAGAGAAGAATTATTAATTGAAAGAAAAAAAGGAGAAAAAAGAGAAAAATTAAAAAAGAAAGAATGAATAAAAGAAAGAAGTAGAAGAGGAAACGGAAAATAAGAATGGAGAGAAGAAAATGGAGGTAAAATTATGAAAGAAAGAAAGAAAAAAGAAAGAAAGAAAAAGAAAGAAAGAAAGTGAAAAGAAGTAAAAGAAGGAGAAGAAAAAGAAGAAAAAGATTCATAAAAAACAGTTAAGAGAAGAAGCCTTTGTGAAAAATGAGAAAAGGAGAACAATTAGAAAATAAAGAATGCATAAAAGAAAGAAATCGAAAAAAAAAAACAAGAAAGGAGAATGGACGGGAGAAGAAAACGGAGAGAGAACTGTGAAAGACAGAAAGAATGAAAAGAAGAAGAAGAAGAAGAGGAGAGAAAAACAATGGACAGAAATAGTAGTAATAAGAAAAGAAGAAAAAAAACGAATGAATGAAAAAGAGAAAGAAGTAGAAGAGACAAACGAAAAAAGAATTGGGGTGGGGAAAGAAGAAAACAGAAGGAGAATTATGAAAGAAGAAAAGAAGGAAAGACAGAAGTCGGAGAACGAGAAAAAAAAACAAACTGTGAGAGCAAGAATAAAAATGATAATAGGAAAACAAACAAATGGAAGAATTTGAAAAGAATATGGAGACATCGAATGAAAGATATTAGAAAACAGTCCAGCAAATGAAAATAGCAAATGCAGAAGGATCAAAAGAAAGAAAATATACAAAAGAAATCAACGAAAGAAATAAATAAATAAGAAAGATAAAACTGAAGAAAAAAATGGAAGCGTGAAAGGGAGAAAACGAGAGATAAGTAAAGAAAAAAAATCAAACCGTTTTCCTCCAAAGAGAGAACGAAGGACAAGAAAGCGTCACCTGAACCAAAAATATGAGGCAATAATAATAATAATAATAATAATTATGCAATGGCATATCGGGAACAATATTAATAAGCAGAGAAAAAAAAAGGACTGGGAAGAAGAAAGGAAAGTCACTTTAGAAAGATGAAGAAAAAAAAATAGGTGGATAATGAATAAAAAAAACAAAAACAAACTATTTTTAATTTCCATTCTTCTAATAACAGAAAGCAATGTCAACAAGCCAATAATCAATAGTCAGGTTTAAGTGTGTTCCGAAAGGTGTTCAGAATCGATTTCTATTGATTCTTTATAGCCACCTCGTCCCATGGCGCACACGCATATAAACCCCTACATATAAACCCCTACATATAAACCCCTACATATATACGCACACATACACACGTCTTGTCTTTCGTTTCGTTTTGTTTTTTATATCCTTTAAATCCCATTGAAAGTCTGCTTTCGCGGTTATAAACATTTTTTTTTGTATTTAATCCATCGCAATCTTACATTGGCGAGGCAAAGTTTCCAGGTGGAAATAGCCTACACACAGGAGCAGCATGTGCGTAGAATGTTCGACATTCTTTTTCAAACGGGGTGCCAGCTGTGTTTAACTGTGCGGTGTTTCTTCTTCTGTCTTTTCTTCTCTATCTTCTTCTTCTTCTTCTTCTTCTTCTTCTTCTTCTTCTTCTTCTTCTTCTTCCTTGCCTTCAATCTGACCTGTTAGTGTCAAATTTTCCAAGTAATTCTTTTATTATGTCCCGTAGATATTTCAACTGTCTTGTAAAGTAGAAGTGTCCTTTTTGTTTCCGTTTTTTTTAAAATTTCGTCATGGCTCACCTGCTCGGTCCATGGTATTCTCAGCATCCTTCTATAGAACGGTACTTGCTACAAGGGTCTTTTTAACCTTTGAGGAGATGGTCCAGCATTCATTGCCATACGAACTACAAATTGGCGATGTCAGTCCATGGCATTCTCAGCATCAGGGCCTACTTGCTAAAGGAACCACATTCCTGTTGGCTGAAGTCTTTTCTTCTTAGGAATTCATCGGATATATATATATATATATATATATATATATATATATATATATATATATATATATATATATAGAGAGAGAGAGAGAGAGAGATACAGGTCTGAATATTATTGAACTCTAGTCTCTTGAAATTCATAATCCCTCCCCCACATTCGATTACATTCGTTAATTAAAAATTAATTTACACGCTTTTTTAAATTCCAAGAATAAATAAACTTGATAAGTCCTGGTACGAAACCGGTTGTTTTTATTTTAGCTTTTGCTTTTAAAAATGCCTCATAAATATTGTCTTTTCCAATCTATTATTAAATTCTGTGCCACGAAAAACTTATTTAAATATATATATATATATATATATATATATATATATATATATATATATATATATATAATGAAATGATATCGTTTGATTATGTTAATATACGGTTTGAGCAGATATGAGCGTTCGAGGGAAATCATGTGAAACTTGTAGTTTAAAAACAGTAATTTGACTTTGCTAACCAGAAGCTCCATCTGTATTTATACCATTTAGGTTATATGACGTATAGGATGGAGGTTCAATTTCTGTCAAAGGATACATATTATCTATGAATTTTTTCGGATATTGAGGCCGGTAAATGTTGTTAATACAGTTTATTATAAACAGAGCATTTAATTAAATATTTGTATCTATAAAAATAGCGTATAAACCGAAAATATATTAAAATACTTCTCGATTAGTCCATACACACACACACACGCATTCTCTCTCTCTCTCTCTCTCTCTCTCTCTCTCTCTCTCACACACACACACACACACACATATATATATGTGTGTGTGTGTGTGTGTGTGTTTTGAACAATGAAAAATATTAAAAGATTAAAATCTTCAAACACACTGGGTTGTATATTAATATTTTTTCGTTTTTATTATTTCATTTAGATTCCTCGACTAGTTTCGGCCAACATGGCCATCATCAGGAGAAAAAAAAAATTCTGCTTGTTAGTAGCAGTGAACTACAGAAATGAATGACTTGATGGAGATAATGAACTTTATCTGAAGTTTTCATTTGTTTTTTTTTATTTTTTTTAAACATGGATTTTGATCAGTCCTTATGTTGTTCAAACAGTCTTTTTTAAGTTGTTATTTAAGATAAGAGCTGGATGGATTCATGCTGCTCTGAATTCCCTTGGTCATTTTGACAGTTTTATTGGTTCCTGGAAAGGGGATGTGTCTCTGTTAAGTGTTTCTTAGGGAGTGAGTAAGTGTGTATATTCGTATGGGTGTGTGTATAAGTGTAGGCCTCAACACCTCCGCAAGAAATGTGAGTAGGTTTTGATTTGAGGGCGTTATATATTAATTTTATCTATATTGTTAGATTTGTGATTAAGCCCGTCTGAATGGAGCGTTTTTAAGCGCCGAATCCACTTATTTTCACGGCCCTCTTTCTAATGTTATCTGCTCTGAACTTTTCTATTTTTCTCAATTATAGTGAATTTGACATGAGTTTTAAAATCGTGTTTTTCCAGGCGGAAATGTTGTTCTACAGGTAATAATTTTTCATGGGGAGTCGACTTAATTCGATTGCGATAATTATCAATTCTGTAGTGAAAGGGCCATTCAGATTTTCCTACATATTGTTTTTGGCATAGTGTGCATACTAGGAGGTAAATTATGTTATGACTTCTACAGTTAGAATCGTGGTAGATTTTGAAAGTAGATTTAGTGACTGAGCTAGTAAATGAATTCGTGTGTCTAATGTGGTTGCAGCATAAGCTCCTTTTGTTGTTATATGGTTGGGAAAATCCTGTTGTTTTTGTTCTTAGCTTATTACGGATTACCTTGTCTCCTGAAATGTGATTTCTTTTAGGTTCTTAGGTCTACGATATGCTAGAAGGCCGGGTTCCTTAAACATTTTTTTAGGTCTGGTTTGAGATGTATTATTTCCCAGCGACTTTTGATTATTTGGGATAATAGTGGAGGCAGAGTGGGGTTGAAAGTAGTTACTAGAGGAATGCGGTTAGATTTATTTTTAATCTTGTACATTAGGGTGTCTTCTCTAGGTGTGGAAATTGCTTTATTTATTTGTTCCCTGATTAGTTGTTGTTGATAGCCATGTGTTGCGAATTGATGCTCCAGATTTTCAATGAGTTTATTTAGTTCTTCATTGTTGGAACATATCCTTCTGTGTCTAAGTGCTTGTGAATAGGGAAGGTTCTCTTTGAGGTGTTTAGGGTGGGAAGACTTAAAGTGTAGATAGTTGTGGGTGTCGATGATTTTAGTGTCGTTTGTAGCTTTCTGTTTTCATCTATGTAAATGAGGGTGTCTATAAATGTTACCGGTCTTGTGGGATTTTCATAGTTAAACTTAATTGAGTCGTGTACTGTGTTTAGGGTTATGAGGAATTGGGTAAGTTTGTCGTCACTACCCGTGTATACAAAGAATATACCCTCGATATAGATTGCATAGAACACGATGTCGCTGTGTGTATAGAAGGAGTGGGGAAATATAAATTTAGACATCGGCTATAATTATGCACCCACAGGAAACGCTGACGATGTAGGACGCTAATTTTCAAATTTAAGTTTTAAAACTTCTGGCAGTCCAACGTGGATAGACGCAACAGTTCAGCCAATTGCATTTAGTTTTCTCAACCCTTTTCTTTTATCGCTTATTTTTAAATACCCTCCACGGCGACAAGAAAGGAAAGGTTAAGAAAGGTTCCTTTCCTTAAGAAAGGTGAAATGTTGCACGAACCTGGACGCAAATTTCGCGTTGAATATTCAGGAGAAAAAATAATTGCATTCTTTTCGAGGAATAATTATAACCGACATTTTCTTTTCTATTTATATTATTCTAAAATGTGGATCCATATGTATTAATAATAAATATACATTTTTTCCTCAGCGGTAGCACAACTCTGATTTTATGCATATGCTACATTTCATTTGGTGAGATAAAAATAAATATATATATAAATATATTTATTATTAACATAAATTATAGCTCTTATTATACAACGAGCATTATTTTATTTACACCAACACTCAGTGTGCGATATTATATATATATATATATATATATATATATATATATATATATATATATATATATATAATATCCTTGTGCGCTTAGCTTTGGAGCGGGTAGAATGGAGATCAACGTGCTTTAGTGGACTCAGCAATTTCCAATCTGCTTGTCTGAATCATCTTCAAAAAGCGAGAGCAAGATCTAAAAGATCAGCCAATCTAACAGTGATCTCATCTCACAATCCTCACACTTGCTCCATATGTGGCCTCCTTTGTAAATCACTAGCGGGTCTTAAATGCCACTTAAGATTATCGCACAAACTTTCATAACTGAATCAATAAGCTGTCAGATCCTCATACGTCGAAACCGACGGGAGAGTTCATTATATATATATATATATATATATATATATATCCTTACATTATATATATATATATATATATATATATATATATATATATATATATATATATATATTATATCTCCTTACTCTGTCCTGGACATTGAATTCTACCTGGATTCTATCCTCTTGGAATTTTATTCAAAAAATATACATGTATGGCTATTTATATACTTTGCATATTTATGTATATTTACCACTAAATATTATCTATCTATCTATCTATCTATCTATCTATCTATCAATCTCTCTCTCTCTCTCTCTCTATATATATATATATATATATATATATATATAGAGAGAGAGAGAGAGATATAGATATAGATCTATCTATCTATAGA